GAACATTTTGAAGGTAATCGACTTATGCGGTTTTGTGAAAACGTATAGTGCAGAAGACCGGGTAAACAGTTGATGCGCACTTTTCATCGCWGTTTTCTAGTCAATCTTACTAGATCTTCCATTATTCTAAAATTCGCTGATCATTTCTCTCAAAACTACGTCAGGATACAAATTAGAATTTAAACTAATATTACACAAAATTGCAAGACTATTGAACCCATTTAAAGCGATCTAAAGCGAACAGGAAATACAGAAAACATTGATCGTTTCCCAACGATTTGATGCTCTTGGAATTCTATTGTTTGCTAATGACCATAACACCAAATTCTTTCGCACCATGCACGGTCTGATCTCGCTTGACCGCTTTCCGATTTACTCCCGAAGCATGGTAATACACAGTTGTGACAAACGTCCCACGTTTGAATAAAAAAACTGTGTATTACCATGCTTCGGGAGTAAATCGGAAAGCGGTTTATGCACCAGCGTTCCAAAAGTGGAAGGTAGTGGTCAAGCGTAAGGGGGTCCAGCCACCTTAAATCCTTTCCTGTCTAAACCTCTTGGGATCCTATTTAATTATTCATTCAGCACTGGTACATTTCCTGATAGCTTTAAAATAGCTAATGTAATTCCAGTTTATAAAAGCGGGTCTCGTTCCCGGACTTCAAACTATCGTCCAATATCACTGCTCTCTGTTTTTAGTAAAATTCTTGAAAAACAGTGTACAAAACAGTGATGTCCTTCTTTGAAAAGAATGATTGCCTCTACAATAAGCAATTTGGTTTTCGTTCTCTTCATAACACTTCTCATGCAATTCTCTTAATTACTGATACAATTCAAAGAGTCATTGATTCAGGAATTTATTGCTGTGGTATATTCCTAGATTTTTGTAAGGCCTTTGATACTGTAAACCATGAAATCCTAATCACGAAACTATCTAACTATGGAATAAGGGGAATTGTCCTACACTGGTTTAAATCCTATCTTAATAACAGACACCAATATGTATCTATTGGTAATACCAACTCTGATTATCTTCCTATCTCTTGTGGTGTTTCTCAGGTTCAGTCTTAGGCCCTTTGCTGTTTCTCTTGTATATTGATGATTTATCCAACTCTACTAAAATTTTTGATATTCATCTTTTTGACGATGACTCAAAT